CAGAAATTGTTATTTAAAGCATAAAACGGACAAACCCTACATGTTTATTCAGTGAACAAAGCGCATGGAAGACTCACAAAATCAGCTGTTTTGATGCGGCTCCTGTAGATTTTTCTTTCTATTATGTTTGGTTTAAAAATCTAAGCTCTGAGCAGTTTTTCTATCTAATTTAAAGTAATTCAGTGTTGCCTAAGCTCCTGTTTACTGACAAACATATTATTGAGTAAAGGAAATGCATATGAGCGTTATGTGGGTGTTGGTAAAACATAACCATTAAGCGCTCAGTAAAGGCATGTATGCCTGATTTAGAAACAATGCAAACAAAGTGTGATGCTTGTTATGTGACATGAAAACTAAAGTCAGAAAAGAGCTGAGTCCAGTCAAGTCTGGTTTCTTGAACGTAGCAGAAATTTTAAATGATGGACGTGGCTTTATTGCAAAGAACAGCTAAGGCTGCTGATGTTCTTGCTTAAAAAAAAAAACTAAGTTTAAAACATAGCTGCTTAGCAGACCACTGATGAATGTATGATTCTAAGTCAGACCCTAACCTTAAATTTATCTTAAACATAGGATGCGTCTTTGAATGTTCATTTAAAGCTGCAGGTTTCGTCTCCTCAGCTGACATTAGTCATCACCCTAAGACTGTTGTGATGCTTATCTGGCTTCAATCAGTTGAAAATATTTATATTTATTGAGGTAAAAAAAAAGCTGATCCTCCAGCACAAATATGAAAGTGTGTTTTAAAGCTATTTCTAAGTTACAACTATTCAACAACAAATATTTCATCTATTTTTATCTATTTTCTCTTGGCCAGAAGGCATTCTGGTGTACATCATGTTCTACACTGTTTCCAAATTTAAGTGGCAACATGTCTGTTCACAGTTTTAAGATTAAACTGGTAAACAGTACATGCAGCAGGATATGTGCTTATTTTTCTGCAGATGATTTCAGTTTTGCAGAATGATATCTTATCTTTAACGTTTTTAAAAATACTTAAATCCAAGCATTGCTTTTTTATTTTTATGATGGTGCAGAAACTTTTGCCCTATCATGCCTGTCGATACAGAACTTGCTGTAAATCATCGCTCCGATCCCCAAAGCAACTGTTGCTGCAGTGCTCCAATGCTCACGTCTGGTCTTGTTGTTCAGGAATTAAGAGTCCCAGTTTAAACCTGTGCTGCTGTCTTACGCTTTAAAGCAAGAAGATAACTCATGTCCAACGCTCATGTCCGGATTTTTTTTTCTCTATGAGTCTGACTGCGTCTTTCCTTTGACAGACGATTCTAAATGTGTTTTTGTTCTTTTTTTAAGAATACTTCTGAAAAAAAGAGCTTTTGCTCTTTTAATTATTAATTTATGGTAATTGTTAATGCTAGGAAAGTTAATGAAACCCTCTTTAAGCAAACCATTAAACCAATTTTTCTCTTTTCTAGATAAAAATGAGGCTCAACCATAACTGCTCTACAGGCTTGAATGAGACCATTGTAAGTAGTTCATCAGCTACAAGCATCGGCGCCCTCATCCTCACCTTTGTTTTCCTGTTGGGATGTCCTGGAAATATATTCGTCATCTGGAGCATCCTGGCACGAGCCCGACAGCAATCTGTCACTACCCTCCTCATCCTCAACCTAGCTATCGCGGATGGCTCTCTGATGGCTCTTACCCCTTTCTTCATCGCCTACCTGGTTATGATGAACTGGGTGTTGGGGAATGTGATGTGTAAAGTCCTCTTCTACCTCTGTTTGGCCAACATGTACGCTTCCATCCAGCTGATAATGCTGATGAGCGTTTACAGGCTGGTGTCGGTGGTGTGGCCCAAACGCATCAGCGTGATCACTGGCAAGAAGACCATCATGAGAGTGTTAGGAGTGATGTGGATGCTCGTAATTGTTGCGTCTATTCCTGCGCTAATCTACCGAAACGTTAGGTGTAAAAAGAATCATCCAGGTTATGTTTGTGATTCATTCCATGACACAAACGGCGAGGTAAGTTTGGAAGATCATTTTTCTCCCTTTAACATTAACTCTATATTAAATGAGCAAAACTTATTTTTTGTATTTCCTATTTCTACCCCCAATCCCTTCTGATAAACACCCCAACACACAGGTGGTTCTGCAGTACACACTTGAGCTCGTTTTGGGCTTTGTAGTACCTTATGGAGTCATTGTAGTCAGCTACATTCTCATTTTAAGAAAGATCCGGCAGACAAAATTTCGCCGTCGGATACGAAGTGAAAAGCTCATCCTGGCCATCGTGGTGACCTTCTGCCTGTTCTGGGTGCCCTACCACGTCATCAACATGGTGCAAGTATGTTTCTCTTAGCATATGAGACAATGTTAAGTGTTATTTCCATTTACCTTTATCATCAATTTATATCTTTTGGTAATAACTATGTAATTCTGCGTTCCTCCCAGGTCGCATGGGCTTTATCTCCAGAAGGCTCACCAAAAAAAAAACTGTAAGTGATTCCACCCAAATATGAATGCATTTTATTTGCTCAAGGGTGCAACTGTTTCTAAGTAATTTGTTTATTGGAAATTCAGCCTTTTTCACCAATCCACCCAGACCCAGGAGCTGTTCGGCTTTGCTGATTAATGTACAAATTCTGCTCTCCAAATAAATCAACAAGGTTCTTCTACAAATGACTAATTCGGGCTCTGACTCTCTCTACCTGAAACACAATGAAGTGTGCTTCTCTTGCAGGCAGACCAGACTAAGGCTAAAAATCAATCAATCTTGTGTAAAACTGCAGGTCACCCAATGCAGTCCCATGCAAAGTCTTTCTCCATCTAGCTAATGGGCTCAAAATATGACTGTATGGGTTTCTAATAGTTTATAACATTTACGCAGTAAGGAAATGTTAATTTGGATGATTGGATGAAATGTCAAGATGCATTAATATAGCCAGAATTTACTGTCAAGTGCTATATATCATCGTGGGACATGTGGAATAACTGCCATTAATAATTGGCAGACAGACTGTCAACCGATCCAGGAAAACCAGTTAGCATGAACATGACTGCACAGGATCTAAGTTATGTTTTAATTAAAATAATAGACCAATGTGCTCTACTGGTTCCTTTTCCAGTTTTGCTCCAACTCAGTTGCTTATATATGTCTGACTGCAAAATAATAAATCAGAATTTCTAACAGTCTATATTAGTTTAGCCTCCTGTTTAATAAAGCCAGCAGATAATATAAACAATGGCTGAAACATCTTGGTGTCTCATAATGTATAATGTCTTATATGTGGCCCGACTATACAATCTGCAAGAACATATCTTTTTAGAATTCTGGCTTAAACTATCTGTTATGGGGAACTTATTATTTAAATAGTTCTATTTTTCATCCTCCTCTTTTTATGCCAGTTGTAGAGGTGTTTAACTGAACATACTCTTCTTTTCAAAAACTTCAAAGGATTTTAGTTAATTTTTTTCTTAATTAAAGTTCTGTGAAGTTAATGTTCTTCTGTGAAGAATATAAATATTCTGTGAAGTCATTCTTTGCCTAAAGTAAAAAAACAGATGTCATGTTATGTTATTGTGAGTTGGTTGAATTATAGTAAATTCCCGATGGCTAATAAGCAAGATATATAATGTACCCTGAATCACAGACTCTCTTCTGTATTTTTGTCAAAAAAGGAGGGTTCATCTTTTTACAACAATCACATCTGGAGAGCTCAGGAAACTATTATCTTAAGTTACCATCTAAGATTTAATTTTCCATTCAAGAGAGAGAGAGAGAAAGAAAGAGTCAATCAGAAGTATAGGCGAGCTATAATATTGTCATTGTGAATATTTGTACAAGGTCAACAAAAAACTAAGCATGAAATATTTTAATGAAACACAAAATCGACAATGTGCTGTAAGAACAAGTGCATGTATTTCTACAACCAAAACTTTAGAGATGCATTAATACTGGGTTACCAGGGTTCTGTCCTCTGTTTAAATAATTTTTTTGTTTCTTTGTATTTGTAGTTGTTTTCTGGCAGTGTTTTGTTCTTAAGTGACTCTCTGTCCCCCCCCCTCATGTTTGTTTCCTTTCCCCTTGGCTTCCTTCTAGAGCAGGCATCCCCAAAGTCGGTCATCAAGGGCCGCTGTCCTGCAGGTTTTAGAGGTTTCCCTGCTTTAGCACAGCTGATTGTGATGACTGAAGTTGAGCAAAATGCTGTTAATCAGCTTTTAATTAAAATCAGCTGTGATAGATCAAGGAAACCTCCAAAACCTGCAGGACAGCCGGCCTCGACAACCGAGGTTGGGGATGCCTGTCTAAAAGCTTCCATTAACACCTGTTCCTTGTCAGGTCATTAGTCCAGTCTTTTTTATGCCTCATATATATATAGGAGACATAAAATATATATATGTACTCTCCCTGTTTAGTTAGTGGTGGGTCCTCGTCTTTTCAAGGCTACTCATGTATGTTTTCCCTGATATTTTCTTAGATTCTGTTTTTTTCCCCTGTATTTGTATTTTGGATTTTTGCCTCAGTTGCCTGTAAGTCCTTCATTAAACCTGACAAATACCCTATTAAGGCAGACACATCCTAGTTGCAAGTTTGAAATTGTAAAAAAAAAAAAACAAACAAAAAAAAAACTTTGATTTTTGGCCTGTTTTAAGCATTGGTCCCTCATTTCAGTCTCATTTATTGTATTAATTCAAGTTTGATACCGTAGTGAAAATCTGATTTTGGGGGAACCAAAGTCCACCTTTAAGCAAAGTGTATAGAATATATATACACAGTGTATAGAAGAGGTCCTTTTCACTATAAAAAAAAAAAGTATTAGAATGTATGTGTTAAAGGAATAGTACACCCAAAACATGATTAGCCTTCATTTTCTACTCACCCCCATGCTGAACAACACCCTGGAGTACTTTTTTGATATCTCAAATGCATCTGGAGATCTGGGAGGCTTCTTGCTGTCTGCTGACATTCAAATAATGGAGGTGCCCAGCGCCCGAGGCAGAAAGGTCCATAAAAGTCCACAAAAACGTGTCAATATTCCTCCATACTGCTCGTCCAATGTATTCCAAGTTTCCTGAGTGGGTAGCATCCAGAATTTACTCGAAACGAAGTCATTTAGAATGTTTTTAGAGCATAAACAGTAGTGTATAGGATTTCCTGAAAGCGCGCACCTGCGCGATCCCGACGCTACGGAAGCCGGCAGACCAAACCAGCGCATTCAGCTCGGCAAAGAACTCATGCTCTTCCTCAACACTGAAGTCCTCAGACATTTTTCTTTCGTTGTTTCTTTCTTTGCACAGGTAAACGGCACATTTCTTCTTCTACGCTTGCATTATTGGAAGAGCAGACGCTGAATGCGCACTTTCATCTGGTTTGGTCTGCCGGCTTCCGTAGCCTCGTGATCGCGCATGTGTGCGCTTTCAGGAAATCCTATACACTACTGTTTATGCTCTAAAAACATTCTAAATGACTTCATTTCGAGTAAATTCTGGATGCTACCCACTCAGGACACTTGGAATACATTGGACGAGCAGTATGGAGGAATATTGACACGTTTTTTGTGGACTTTTATGGACCTTTCTGTCTCGGTCACCATAGACCTCCATTATTTGAATGTCAGCAGACAGCAAGAAGCCTCCCAGATCTCCAGATGCATTTGAGATATCAAAAAAGTACTCCAGGGTGTTGTTCAGCATGCGGGTGAGTAGAAAATGAAGGCTAATCATGTTTTGGGTGTACTATTCCTTTAAAGGAATATAACTTGTAACATGCACTGAAGCTTGGACCCAATATTCAGCAGACAAACAGAAGGTTTCAAAACAGGTTATTTAAAAAGTAACAAAAAGAGGACGATGGAAACTCCTCAGAGAGGGTTCTCTGATTCTCTGCTGAGACAGGAAACTCAGGTCAGTGACAAGAATGAAGGGTGGAGAAGACAACAAAACGTCACTGACCTGGTTGAGAGTTCAGTCTGAAACTCAGAGAGGAGAAACCTGGGGGGAGACAGTCCACCGCTTGCGGTCGTTACCGCTTCAGAGCACAGAGTGCGGGGGAGCCGGCGCCAGCCGACGCAGAGCGAGTTACAGTGTCCGTGAGAGATTATGCGAAGCCGAAAACCAGTCCAGTGCAGTGACAGAAACCAGGTTATCCGAGAGCCGAAGACGTATCCAGGGATAATCCAAGCTGAGGTCAGAAAAACAGTCCAAGTTCGATCACAGGCAAAATCCAGGCAGTCAGGCCAAAAACCAAACTGAGCAGGGCATACAGGGAAAAAGGCAAAAACCAAACACACATTGGCAAAAAACTGAGAAGAATTCCACAGAACAGAACACTTACTTTGACAGCTTGGGTAACTCACTCTGACACAGGTTGAATAATCTGATGCTGATGTCAGGAAAGCAAACAGCCTAAATAGCTGCAGGGACCAGGTGAATCAGATTGGCAGTAATCAGTCACAGGTCCAATTAGGCAGATGAGCAGGAGCAGAGGAAAAACAACAACCATCAGCACCAGGATTATGACATAACTATGTGTTGTACCTAACATAATCCCTTGTAAGATTTTCATTATACGGCGATGATATTGCTCTGAATGAAAATCAAACTTTTTCACATGCTGAAAAATGCAAAAGCAAATAACATTTGTTATATTGTTTACAGGTGATGTGTAAACTTAAACTACTGCAGAACTAATCCACAATGTCACAATAACAGAAGCTTGTCTCTAAAAACAGATTCAAGTGTTACCAGCTTCTTTCAGGCACGGAGTATTTCATCTCACTCCCTTCTCAAATTCTTACCCTCTTTTTCTTACCAGGTTGGGTTTAATATGGCAAAGGGGTCGTGCTGTTACCTCCACCATCGCCTTCATCAGCAGCTGTGCCAACCCGGTGCTCTACTTCTTCGCAGGAAAGTCCTACATCAGAAGGGAGGGGCTGGAATTCATGGCTCGCTTGTTCGAGGGCACGGCTTTGGACTTCGGTAGAAAGAGCCGCATGAGCAGCCAGAACAGCCGAGACAAAGACAAAGATGCAGAAGTTGTGCTCAAAGACAAAGGAGACTCTTCTACAAACTAAAGTTCTAATGTCAAGGCAACAAGACTTAAATCTTTCAATCTTCATTGCGTCCAGTCATAACTTCAGCATACTTTATGAAGACTTAAAACTGAACAACAACTCCTAATATTTAGCTGAGTGCTGGAAAGCTCACAGTCACATCTACTTGATGCTCTGGGACACAAAGATGCGGTAACAGGATAAGAGCCATGCCCAGGGTCCCAGAGTTGCAGTCTGTGGCATTTAGACTGGGTATCCCCTGCATCCTTCCTTAAAGGTCAAGCACTGCTCTAACCCCATCTCGTAATATGTTGTTGATGGTGCATAAGAAAATATTGCAATATAAAATGAACAGCATGCATAAACTTCCATAAACTTCGCAGCAATCTTCCAAGATCTGCATCCCAAATTTTGACAATTTTTAAGGTTCATATAAATATAAATATTTATGCATCTGCTGTAGTTTTGTATAAGTTTTTCCTGATGGATTATCCTTAGGATGTTTATTTAGTCCTTTTTTCCACTTTACATAATAACCTTTGCCAAGGTATTTTCACTTGTACTAGTCATCTTAGACTTATCTGGTACCAGGTTGCAGGGGAAAACACTCTAAACATAGACTTCCCCCTCCCTAGACACCTCCTCCAGGTTCTCTGGGGAGAATTCTGAGGTGTTTCAGGGCAGCTGAGAGTCATAATCCTTCCAGTGTGTCTTGTGCGGTCCTCTAAGCCTCCTGCTGGTTTGAAGTGCCTGAAAGACCTCCCTAAGAGCCGTCCATGGAGCATCCGCAAAAGTGACATAGCTGACTCGTATCCATCTTCTCCTTCAAGGATTGCCAAACTACTCACCCTAGGAGAGGACCCAATGGAAGCTCATTTTGGCTGCTTGAATCTGGGAACTTCAGTCATGACCCAGATTTCATGACCATAGATGCATTTTTGTGGATGATGCGGTTGTGCTTTCTTATTCTTGCCAATCCTGCAGCTGTAATTAGGGTGAGCTCCTCCAGGTCTGAGACTATGGCTATCGACCGAAAAAAATGGCTTCCCCCTTCAGGTTGGAGAAGAGCACCTGCCTCAAGTGGTGGAGTTGAAGTGTTTTGGAATCCTGTTCATTTGCCAAGGTTTCACTAAAAAAGATGTATTTTTTCCCCAAGTTTCTAAATAGTTCTATTTTTACAGAATTTTTTTTTATAAAACAAAATGATTATATGTTTTATTGTGTCAGAGCAAATAATTTATATTAAAGGAGAATATTGGTCTCAATTTATCATTCCTCTAATGTTTATATTATGATGCTACTGTTACCTAAGAAGGTCTTTCTGCATTTTCTTCAGCTGACTTTTTTATATTTCCCCTCCAGGCCTAAAATGTTTATCTATATTTCTTGCCACTAGATGTCACTTTTTTCAAACAGCTAAAAATGTGGGTTTTGAATCTATTTTCTGGTCATGTAAGACCAACACAAAGAGTCTTGTACCCAAAAAGGGAAGCCCTTAGATTTAATGGTATCTCAATACAAACTATTTAAATACATAATGAATTATTTTTTATTAATTTAAATCCTGTGCCATTTCAGGGTATAGCTCAAAACGTATCTTGTAATTTATGCCTAAATGATTTAGTTTCAATTAAAGGTTTCCTGCAATGTTTTACTGAATATATAACCTGCAGGATATTTTGTATGTATTTTGTTTCATAATTATTAAAATCATTGTAACGCAAACTAAAGCAGATACAATGTACAAATTGCTTGAAATTATTTTTTACGTACCCAAAATCTATCTAAATTTGAAAGGTCAGAATTCAATTTTAGCCTAACTGCTAGTTGCAGATTGAGGCACCAAGAATTTTTTTTATGCAGCAGAACATTGAACAGTTTCGACAGCAACAAGCACTGGAAATGGGTAAAAACTTCAACAACCACACAGACTTATCCTTTATATAGGGTACATGCCATTTGTTCACAAGAAAAGCTCTTGGAAAATAGATTTCAATTTTCCAGTCTAATACCTGGGTTTTCCCCTAAAGTATCCTTTCCTGAAGCTGCTGGAATGTATTTATCTTTCATATTTCCTTAATACTTCAAAACTAGTTACAACACAGACTTGGAAAAAATCCTTTGGCCAATTTTTTGGCTTCATATTTCCTGGTGAGGTAGGTAGGTAGGTAGGTAGGTAGACAGACAGACAGACAGACAGACAGAGAGACAGACAGACAGATAGATAGATAGATAGATAGTGTTATGTTACACTTTTTTTATTTCACTCACAAAGATTAATTTATGTCTGCCTATTTTTTCAGCTAAAAGTTCCTGTCTTCAAATTACCTGTTGGACTTTCTGTCCTGACAAGCAGATATTCCCCTTTAACAGCCCACACATTATTTGTTCTTGCTGACTGTTTTCCTGTGAAGGTTTCCTGTTAATCAGCCAAATGCAAAAAATCAGGGTCGACAAAAATCTTCCTTTACAGTAACTGTTGCATCAGCTCTGAGGTTAAAATTCAGCAGGTATACATTCAGAAAGTCCAATGTAACAGTGACTCAATGTTTTTCTTCCTTTACTTGTTTGCTTTACTTGTGGGTAAAAGAACATCTTTATAAAAACAAAAAAATCATCAGTTAATCTTACAGTTTGCTATGCCAGATGGTTTATCTGCGTATGCTTGGGGGTTCTAACACAGAGACATGATAATATTATGTAATAATTAAATCATTTTATAAAGAATAATTCTGCACAGTAATATTTACCTGCACACACAGATATCC